GCAGAGTAAGAATGGGTCTGCAGTGAGAATGGGTCTGCGGAGAGAACGGGTCTGTGGAGAGAACGGTCCTGACGGAGAGAACGGGTCTGCGAGAGGACACGGGTCTGGCGGAGAGAACGGGTCTGCAGAGAGGAATGTGGTCGGCAGAGAGAACAGTGGGTCTGTAGAGAGAACGGGTCAGCGGAGAGAATGGGTCTGCGGAGAGACGGGTCTGTGGAGAGAACGGGTCTGCGGAGAGAACGGGTCTGCAGTAGAGAACGGGGTCTGCAGAGAGAACGGGTCTGCAGAGAGAACGGGTCTGCAGAGAGAACGGGTCTGCAGAGAGAACGGGTCTGCAGAGAGAGAACGGGTCTGTAGAGAGAACGGGTTCTGCAGAGAGAACGGGTCTGTAGTAGAGGAATGGGTCTGTAGAGAGAACGGGTCTGCAGAGAGAACGGGTTCCTGCAGAGAGAACGGGTCTGTAGAGAGACCGGGTCTGTAGAGAGAACGGGTCTGCAGAGAGACGGGTCTGCAGAGAGAACGGGTCTGTAGAGAGAATGGGTCTGTAGAGAGATGGGTCTGCGAGAGAGAACGGGTCTGCAGAGAGAACGGGTCTGTAGAGAGAACGGGTCTGCCAGACCCCTGCAGAGAGAACGGGTCTGCAGAGAGAACGGGTTCTGCAGAGAGAACGGGGTCTGTAGAGAGACTGGGTCTGTAGAGAGAACGGGTCTGCAGAGAGAACGGGTCTGCAGGGAGAATGGGTCTGTAGAGAGAATGGGTCTGCAGAGAGAATGGGTCTGTAGAGAGAACGGGTCTGCAGAGAGAACGGGTCTGCAGAGAGAACGGGTCTGTAGAGAGATTGGGTCTGCAGAGAGAATGGGTCTGCAGAGAGAATGGGTCTGCAGAGAGAATGGGTCTGTAGAGAGAACGGGTCTGCAGAGAGAACGGGTCTGCAGATGAGAACGGGTCTGTAGAGAGATTGGGGTCTGCAGAGAGAACGGGTCTGCAGAGAGAATGGGTCTGTAGAGAGAACGGGTCTGCAGAGAGAACGGGTCTGCAGAGAGAACGGGTCTGTAGAGAGAACGGGTCTGCAGAGAGAACGGGTCTGTAGAGAGAATGGGTCTGCAGAGAGAATGGGTCTGCAGAGAGAACGGGTCTGTAGAGAGATCGGGTCTGCAGAGAGAATGGGTCTGTAGAGAGAACGGGTCTGCAGTGAGAATGGGTCTGCAGAGAGAATGGGTCTGTAGAGAGAATGGAGAGAATGGGTCTGCAGAGAGAATGGGTCTGTAGAGAGAATGGGTCTGTAGAGAGAACGGGTCAGCAGAGAGAACGGGTCTGCAGGGAGAATGGGTCTGTAGAGAGAATGGGTCTGCAGGGAGAATGGGTCTGTAGAGAGAATGGAGAGAATGGGTCTGCAGTGAGAACGGGTCTGTAGAGAGAACGGGTCTGCAGGGAGAATGGGTCTGTAGAGAGAATGGGTCTGCAGGGAGAATGGGTCTGCAGTGAGAACGGGTCTGTAGAGAGAACGGGTCTGCAGAGAGAATGGGTCTGTAGAGAGAATGGGTCTGCAGTGAGAATGGGTCTGCAGTGAGAATGGGTCTGTAGAGAGAATGGGTCTGCAGAGAGGAGAATGGGTCTGCAGAGAGAATGGGTCTGTAGAGGAGAATGGGTCTGTAGAGAGAACGGGTCTGCAGAGAGAATGGGTCTGTAGAGAGAATGGGTCTGTAGAGAGAACGGGTCTGCAGAGAGAATGGGTCTGCAGAGAGAATGGGTCTGTAGAGAGAATGGGTCTGCAGAGAGAATGGGTTCTGCAGAGAGAATGGGTCTGTAGAGAGAACGGGTCTGCAGAGAGGAATGGGTTCTGCAGAGAGAATGGGTCTGCAGAGAGAATGGGTCTGTAGAGAGAATGGGTCTGCAGAGAGAATGGGTCTGCAGTGAGAATGGGTCTGTAGAGAGAATGGGTCTGCAGAGAGAATGGGTCTGTAGAGAGAATGGGTCTGTAGAGAGAATGGGTCTGCAGAGAGAACGGGTCTGTAGAGAGAATGGGTCTGTAGAGAGAATGGGTCTGTAGAGAGAATGGGTCTGCAGTGAGAATGGGTCTGCAGTGAGAATGGGTCTGTAGAGAGAATGGGTCTGCAGAGAGAATGGGTCTGTAGAGAGAATGGGTCTGTAGAGAGAATGGGTCTGAGAGAGAACGGGTCTGTAGGAGAGAATGGGTCTGTAGAGAGAATGGGTCTGTAGAGAATGGGTCTTGCAGAGAGAATGGGTCTGCAGAGAGAATGGGTCTGCAGAGAGAACGGGTCTGCAGAGAGAACGGGTCTGCAGAGAGGAATGGGTCCTGTAGAGAGAATGGGTCAGCAGAGGAGAATGGGTCTGCAGAGAGAATGGGTCTGCAGAGAGAATGGGTCAGCAGAGAGAATGGGTCTGTAGAGAGAATGGGTCAGCAGAGAGAATGGGTCTGCAGAGAGAATGGGTCTGCAGAGAGAATGGGTCTGCAGAGAGAATGGGTCTGCAGAGAGAATGGGTCTGCAGAGAGAACGGGTCTGCAGAGAGAATGGGTCTGCAGAGAGAATGGGTCAGCAGAGAGAATGGGTCTGTAGAGAGAATGGGTCTGTAGAGAGAATGGGTCTGCAGAGAGAACGGGTCTGCAGAGAGAATGGGGTCTGCAGAGAGAATGGGTCAGCAGAGAGAATGGGTCTGCAGAGAGAATGGGTCTGCAGAGAGAATGGGTCTGTAGAGAGAACGGGTCAGCAGAGAGAATGGGTCTGCAGAGAGAATCTCGCCGCGATCCCAACTGTCTGTTATCAGCCTGCAGCCAGGGAGGAGAGATCAGCAGAGCTGCATGCACTGAGTGTGTGAGGAAGTGCGTGGATTGGTCAATTTGGACCAATCAGCGGGGGCTTAACGTAACGGCTCCGCGGACGTAACGTAACGGCTCCACGGATTGGTCCATTTGGTTCCGGGTAACGCATGACATCATGATGTACCCGGAAGAATCAAATGGACAGTGACGTATCTCCAACGAGGCGTTTTGGGGAGGTATTTTCTGTGTTAGAGTTTTACTCGCTACAGGGTGTACTTTGAGGGTTTTGACTCTGCACTAGTGTTAGTTTCGTCAGCTATTTTTTTATTTAGTCTTAGTCCTTTGTTAAATTTCCTTTTTAGTTTTAGTCATATTTAGTCACCTTCATCCTGTTTTTATTTAGTCAAGTTTTAGTCGACTAAAAGTCTGAGCATTTTAATCTTATTTTAGTCAAAGAAAACTAATTATTTTAGTCTACTTTTTGTCAATGAAAACTGTTGAGTATTTTTTAGTCATCAGATTATATAGAACATTTCAGTCAAACTAGTCTAGCCAAAACCAATAATTTGTCATTTTAGTATATATAAATAAATAAGATTATATCTTGTCCTTATTTGATGAAAAACTCAGGTTGAATGATTGAGCAGCTTTGCAGAGAGGATCAGGTTTGTGGTGTTCTACCTGTGTTATGGCCACATTGCTTCCCTTCTGATAAAACAATGCATTCGCTTTTTTTCTCCGCCTCATTGTAGCGAAAATGGGCCCAAATATCACATTGTTTCTTTCTCCCAAGCAGTGGTGGCTTTAGACTTTTTCGTTGTCAGTCATTTTGACGGACAGGATTGTAACATTTCCGTCATAATCCATTATTACCCGTCAAGTGCACAAATCACTCACTCGCGCTGACGGGGGGGGTATTCGGTTAACGCGAGTGCGACCACTGCTCCCAAGCCCTGTTGCCATTTCATTTTCTGTTAAATAAGGTTAGTTAGACCCGAGTCTTCCTGACAGTTCATATTGTGCCGCTGCCCAGTGTAATTCAAATGTACCGCCGCGCGCAGCACACACACACAGTTGCTGCCCTGCCGCAGCACCGGAAATGGAACTGCTGGGAGAAAAACTGACTATGAGAGATGTAACGTTATCTTTGATAATATTTCGTCAACGAAAGTAAAGAGAGATTTTGGCATAGTTTTTATTTAGTAAACTACATTTTCGTCTCGTCACTTTTCGTCAACGATATTGCATGATGATTTCGTTGCAGTTATTGTTTACTGCCGTCGGTGCCGTCTCGTCATCGTCTCGTTTTCGTCATGGAAAAAAAAGGTCGTTGACGAAAATATTTCGTCGTAGTTTTAGTCAACAAAATTAACACTACTCTGCACACCGTTTACATGCATAAAAACCTTCATAACACACAAGGGGACGTGCAATAACCGGAAAAGCATGACATGGGACCTTTAATTGTAATCCACGTTTCAAAATGATGCCGAAGTAACAACATACTGATACCGGTTAGTAAAAACCATGAATTAATGCTTTGACTAGTCTGCAGACAGACGGCAGGCGAAACACCTTTTAAAATATGTGTTTTCTGAATGGAGAGCGGCTAAGCTAACGTTGTAAATGCTCCGACCGTCCACCCTCACAACAACGGCCTACAGACATGAATAAAGCAGCGACTGTATTCACCATGTCACAGGCAGTCTGTGGTTTGTACTTGTTTAACTTCTGTCTAGTTTCTGAACAGATATGAGGAGCTGTGAGCTCTGAGTGCTAACAGCTAACGGCTGATGTTGGTTTTGTGGTTCACATTGAAGATGACGTCACGGCTCCGCCTACACTGCGTTACTATAGTTACTGCCCCAGCTACTGAACTGTAATGGAAACGCAGCATGAAGTGAGCCGGGCCTAACTATACCGTACTTAGCCGTGCGAGGCCCTGCAGTGGAAATGCGCCATTAGTAACTTTACACCTCTGCCTATAAAGACAGAAAGACAAAGCCTTGCACAGAGGCTTGCAAATACATTTTCAAAATGCTCAACAGAGCTGCTAAAATGATAAACTGACTGCTTCACATTTAAAATAAATGCATCGATATATTTCTATTGGATGTGACTCTTTGCGTTGTTCTTATTGCAACCACTGCTTCTTTACTTGCTCTGACAACACATCTGATTTTAATTGGATTTGTATTATCATGTTTTCTTTATTCAGACTGGACAGCTGCAGTTTGTCAGAGATCAGCTGCTCTGCTCTGGCCTCAGCTCTGAAGTCTGACCCCTCCAGTCTGAGAGATCTGGACCTGAGTGATAACAATCTGAAGGGTTCAGATGTGAAGCTGCTGAGAGATCTTCTGGGGAGTCCAGACTGCAGACTGGAGACTCTCAGGTCAGTTCACTGACTCTGTTACTGCAGGAGATCTCACACACTGTGTGCTCTGTTACAAACTTACACAAGGGAGAAAGGACTCAAATGCACGACCCGGGAGCCAGAGATAAAGTATAAGTAATATACTTTATTTGCAAAAATAGGAAATACAAAAGGATAACGGCACTCTTAACGAGGCAGACAAAAAAATAGGCTTCACTATAGCATAACAAAAAATCCCTCACAACGTGAGGAATAAACTACCATAAGTTTACAGGAGCATGAATATAGCATGTAACCAAACGCTGATGAGCAGAGTTCTGGCATGAGGACCAGGACCAGACGAACTGACAACAAACAAGGGAGACTGGGGAATTTAAACAAGAGATAACTGGGCACAGGTGAAAACAATCAGGGGCTAGTGCTGAGGTCTGCGTGGGAGAAACACACTAGAGTAGGGAGTCAAGGAACCTGAAATGAGACGTAACAAGTGAGTGTCAAAACAAAACGGGAAGTGAAAGACAATACAAGAATGACCAAACAACAACATGAAACTTGACTGGCTCAACACTTTTGACGGTGCACAACATGCACAATCATTAGGGCAGCTGTATTATATTATTGAACAACTACAGTGCTCTTGGTCAATCCAAAATGTTAATGAACCTCAAAACCTGAATATTTAAGAAAGTAAAAAGGAGGTTTAAGGTCAGGTGAGGAAGGGTTTAGGAGAGGTGAGGAAGGGTTTAAGGTCAGGAGAGGAAGGGTTTAAGTCAGGTGAGGAAGGGTTTAGGTCAGGTGAGGAAGGGTTTAGGTCAGGAGAGGAAGGGTTTAGGTCAGGAGAGGAAGGGTTTAGGTCAGGGTGAGGAAGGGTTTAGGTCAGGTGAGGAAGGGTTTAGGTCAGGTGAGGAAGGGTTTAGGTCAGGTGAGGAAGGGTTTAGGTCAGGTGAGGAAGGGTTTAAGTCAGGAGAGGAAGGGTTTAGGTCAGGTGAGGAAGGGTTTAGGTCAGGTGAGGAAGGGTTTAGGTCAGGAGAGGAAGGGTTTAGGTCAGGAGAGGAAAGGTTTAGGTCAGGAGAGGAAAGGTTTAGGTCAGGTGAGGAAAGGGTTAAGGTCAGGTGAGGAAAGGTTTAGGTCAGGTGAGGAAGGATTTAAGTCAGGTGAGGAAGGGTTTAAGTCAGGTGAGGAAGGGTTAAGGTCAGGTGAGGAAGGGTTTAAGTCAGGAGAGGAAGGGTTTTAGGTCAGGGGGAAGGGTTTAAGTCAGGTGAGGAAAGGTTTAGGTCAGGTGAGGAAGGGTTAAGGTCAGGTGAGGAAGGGTTAAGGTCAGGTGAGGAAGGGTTAAGGTCAGGTGAGGAAGGGTTTAGGTCAGGTGAGGAAAGGTTTAGGTCAGGTGAGGAAGGGTTTAGGACAGGTGAGGAAGGGTTTAAGTCAGGTGAGGAAGGGTTTAAGTCAGGTGAGGAAAGGTTGGGTCAGGTGAGGAAGGGTTTAAGTCAGGTGAGGAAGGGTTTAAGTCAGGTGAGGAAAGGTTTAGGTCAGGTGAGGGAAAGGTTTGGGTCAGGTGAGGAAGGGTTAAGTCAGGTGAGGAAGGGTTAAGGTCAGGTGAGGAAAGGTTTAGGTCAGGTGAGGAAGGGTTTAAGTCAGGTGAGGAAGGGTTTAAGTCAGGTGAGGAAAGGTTTAGGTCAGGTGAGGAAAGGTTTGGGTCAGGTGAGGAAGGGTTAAGGTCAGGTGAGGAAAGGTTTAGGTCAGGTGAGGAAGGGTTTAGGTCAGGTGAGGAAAGGTTTAGGTCAGGTGAGGAAGGGTTAAGGTCAGGTGAGGAAGGGTTAAGGTCAGGTGAGGAAAGGTTTAGGTCAGGTGAGGAAGGGTTTAGGTCAGGTGAGGAAGGGTTTAGGTCAGGTGAGGAAAGGTTTAGGTCAGGTGAGGAAGAGTTTAGGTCAGGCGAGGAAGAGTTTAGGTCAGGAGAGGAAAGGCTTAGGTCAGGTGAGGAAGGGTTAAGGTCAGGTGAGGAAGGGTTTAGGTCAGGTTACCCCGCTGAAGCTCACCAAAGTTTCATATATTTCATAGTTCAAAGTTTTGTCAATTGTTTTGTTTATTGGTCAAATTCTGGTTTCTAATGGTTTCTGAGGAGTTCTACTGGAATGAAAGAGCACAGAGTACAGAAGCAACAAAGCAGCATCCTGCATTAACCCTGACCTTCACAGAGAGGTTGAAGTTCATGTGGAGAGGAGGCTTCAGTAGTCTGTCTGCACTCTGTTTAGTTGTGCTATCTTACAATCAATATAGTAAATGTGCGGTAAAGTGTCGCCAAGGTAACCGGTTAGAACTCGAAGTTGCGATGAGGTCTTAAAATGTATAGAAAGGGTCTTAAAAAGGTCTTAAAAGGTAATTAAATTTGACTTCAGGATTCCTGCATATACCCTGGGTTATACTTCACTCGTGTTTATGTCCAAATCCATCAGATCTAGCTAGTTCTAGCCAATGAGATCACGCAGACTCAAACCTCATCTTAGGCCCAAATGCGGCGCAAATGCGCTCCGCAGCCGTTGCGAGGTTCATGAGCGTGCTCCCCCGCCCCCTGTCAACACTCGCGACACATGAGTGGCCAGCCTAAACAACAATAAGCGCTGCTTGGCAACCGTGTGTGGCGGCAAAGTACAGAGACATTTTGACAGGAGAGATTTAGTTTTGCCGGTATTCAACATATTTGACCAGTCATAGTCCGGTAATTATTTACACTCTAAGAAGAGTCCTACACAACAGACATGGGCGTCAAAAAGGAGTAGTAATGTGTGGAAATATATTCGACCAGGTTAGTGAGTGCGGTGTAGAGGTCAAACTATGCCAAATTAAACTTATATATACACATGCTATACCTTGCTATACCCGCAACCTCCGTTCCAGCTGAGAGGGTGTTCTCTCCAGCTGGCCTGATTGTGAATCGCCTCCGCACATGAAAGCTGTAGGCCTATAGCTGTCAAACTGTGATAACCAGTTCAATACATTTGAAAAATTCGATTTGGTTTCTACACTTATTTGAACATGTATGTATTTATTTCCAAAAATTATTGAAAAAAATTGGGTAAAAAAACTAAAATTCTGAAAAAAATTGTGAACTTTTTTTTTATAGGATATTTACATTTCGGTTAACCGTTTTTTGGGGGGTCGAATATTCGAATATACATTTACTTTCAAATTCCCATCCCTACTGTGTACTGCAGGAAGTGTCAGGTCCCTCTGTGCTTCACTACCAAAAAGAACTGTTACAGGGCATGGCATGACTTACTGGAGTAATACTGTAACATTCAGGGTCTGTATAAAGTTTTGAGTGTTTATTGTGTTTTTACCTTTTTTTATAGTGTGGTGTTGTTGTATAGTGTGTTGCAATTTTTTTTTAAATAAATCTGCTCCAGTTGGAGTCAAATGTTTCCTATGTTTCCTAATTTTTATTGTGCAAGTAACATGCATCTCATGCAAAGAGGGAACTTCCCACCCACCCACACACACACTTAATTTTCCACTTGGACTTTTTTTTGCTAAATCTCTCTAAAAAGGTAAATTTTCACTTGTTTTGCCTCAATCTTGATACAGGGTACTTATTATATGTTATAGTTTGGATTCCTAAAGCTTTTAGGCTACTAACCCATCATTCAAGGGTGGTTTTCACTATAAGTAATGGGTTTTATTTGGGCAGAGACAAGAATTTACACTTTTTGACTATGTTCCATCTGGATTTACTCTGACACTGAAACATCTTTATTGATTCTGACACTTCTACATCCAACTCACAGATGTGACCTTGCTTTGATAAAATAAATTATTCATACAACCCTTTTAGAAGTTAAGTTATAGTCCTTTGTTTTGGTCATTTTCAAGCCTGAAACCTGAAAAACAGGCTTGGGGCTTAACAGGTTAAGGTCTTTACTGGTGAACCACACAGAGGAGTACTTGATGCCTGTGACGGAGCGTTGTTCTTCATAAAGTCATGGTCTTCCTGAAAGATGCAGACTTGTTCCTGTACCACTGATGGAAGAAAGTGTCTTCTAAAAACTGGCAGTAGGAGTAGGAGTTGATTTTGAGTCCATCTTCAACCTGAAAAGGTCCAACTAGCTCATCTTCAACAACACCAGTAGCCCACCTCCACCTTGCTGGTGTCCGAGTGGAAGTGGAGCTCTGTGCCTGTTACTGATCAATCTGCTCCGTCAAGAGGCATAATCAATTAATTGTTTAATTAATCGATGATCAATTAGTCGTTTGTTGCAGCCCTAGATGCTAATGTAGCCACGCTTCTCTTCAATAACAGTCACAAGACTTCCATTCATGGAGTCTGTCAGTTTCTTGATCTGTTGACTTCAGATATTTCTTGGCCCAGTCTTGAAGTTTGAACTCGTGTGTCTTGTTCAGTGGAGGTTGGGTTTCAGCCTCTCTTACCTTGGCCATGTCTCTGAACACCTGAGACTTCTGGGCCCTCCAGGTACACGTAGCTCACAGTTCTGGAATATGATACTGGAGGATAATGGCTTCCTGGTAACTTCACGTTTCCTTCTTCTCAAATCTTTGAGATTTCATATGTTTCTCAACACGTTTCTTGCGATCCTGTTGACTATTTTCAACAAAACGTTTGATGGTCCTGTGATCACGCCCCAATATCTTAACAATATCTAATCAATATCTTATCAATATCAAGAGTGCTGCATCCCGCTGAAAGACTTTTTACAATGTTTGACTTTTCAGAGTCAGTTAAATCTCTTGGCTAATTTTACCTGAGGAAAATAAGCTGCCTATTATGCACACCTTGATACTTTTACTTTACATTGCATTTAGCTGACGCTTTTATCCAAAGCGACTTACAATAAGTACATTCGACCAGGAAGACACAACCTTGAAGAAAACAGAATCATAAAGTACATCAGGTTTCATAGAGCCAAACATTTCAAGTGCTACTCAACTGGCTTTAGGTAAGCCAGTCCTTTATTAGTATAAAAGTGCTTCGTTAATAGTTCTAACGCTCGAAGTGGAGTCGAAAGAGATGAGTTTTCAGTCTGGAAGGTGTGTAAGCTATCTGCCGTCCTGATGTCAATGGGGAGCTCATTCCACCATCTTGGAGCCAGGACAGCAAACCCACGTGTTTTTGCCGATGGGAACTTGGGTCCCCCTCGCAGCGAGGGCGCAGCGAGTCGTTTGGCTGAAGCAGAGCGTAGTGCACGCGCTGGGGTGTACGGTTTAACCATGTCCTGGATGTAGGAAGGGCCAGATCCATTCGCAGCACGGTAAGCAAGTACCATTGTCTTGAAGTGGATTCTAGCAGTTACTGGAAGCCAGTGAAGGGAGCGGAGGAGCGGAGTGGTGTGGGAACATTTAGGAAGGTTGAAGACCAGACGAGCCGCTGCATTCTGGATGAGCTGCAGAGGTCGGATGGCACATGCAGGTAGACCAGCCAGGAGGGAGTTGCAGTAGTCTAGGCGTGAGATGACGAGAGCCTGGACCAGAACCTGAGTCGCTTTCTGAGTCAGCTGGGGACGCATCTTCCTGATGTTGTAAAGCGTGTATCTGCAGCAACGGGTTGTAGCAGCGATGTTTGCAGTGAAGGACAGGTTGTTATCTAGGGTCACACCCAGATTCCTTGCAGTCTGAGTCGGGGAAACAACTGAGGTGCTGATGTTGATTGTTAGGTCAAGAGTGGGACAATCTTTTCCCGGAAGGAAGAGCAGCTCAGTCTTGTCAAGGTTGAGCTTGAGGTGGTGAGCAGACATCCACTGAGAGATGTCAGCTAGACAAGCAGAGATGCGTGCAACGACCTGGGTCTCTGAGCGGGGAAAGGACAGAATTAATTGGGTGTCGTCAGCGTAGCAGTGGTAAGAAAAACCATGCGGGCTAATGACTGATCCGAGCGAGTTTGTGTACAGGGAGAAGAGGAGGGGACCAAGAACAGAGCCCTGAGGGACCCCCGTAGTTAATTGACAAGGGTCGGACTCAGACCCTCTCCAAGTCACCCTGTAGGTACGGTCTTTCAGGTTTGAGGTGAGGAGGGAAAGTGCAGAGCCAGAAACTCCAAGTTTTTGGAGAGTGCGAAGGAGGATCTGATGATTCACCGTGTCGAATGCAGCAGACAGGTCCAACAGGATGATGACAGAGGAGAGGGATGCAGTTTTGGCAGTGTGCAGTTCCTCCGTGACAGCAATGAGAGCAGTTTCTGTGGAGTGACCTGCCTTGAAACCAGACTGGTGCGGATCCAGAAGGTTGTTCTGATGGAGATAACAGGAGAGTTGTTTAAAGACAGCGTGTTCAAGTGTTTTAGACAGGAACGGGAGGAGAGAGACAGGCCTGTAGTTTATAACATCAGACGGGTTGAGAGTGGTTTCTTTAGGAGAGGGTTTACTCTTGCCTCCTTGAGACTGTTTGGAAAGTGACCAGAAGTTAGAGAAGTGTTGATGAAATGGGTGAGAAACGGTAGAATATCAGGAGCGATAGTCTGAAGGAGGTTTGAAGGGATGGGGTCCAGAGGATACCCTCCGTCATTACACTAATACACATAACATGATATGCTTAAAGCAATACACATTCAAGTGTTTAAAGCTTGGAGTTTGGAAATATGCATACAAATTACGATATAGTCGAAATACTCACCTAATAATTGTGCAAAGTGTGTTTAGTTTGTACTTGAACCTCATTTATGGACATTAATAACTTGCATTCATAAAGAAGTGAATGTCCTTTTATTCACATTTTCATTTTAATGTACTAAATGAAGAACTGCAGACATAAATATTGACTGTTTCTTAAAGGAACTTTAATAGATGTTATTTGTAAAAAGTAAATCTATGTTTTTAATATTTAGTAAACGATAGCGTCTGAATAAAGGTCATCTGAAGTGATATTAGTTTGACATGTTTACTTTCTGAAGGAGACAGATTTTATTGTTCTCATTAATTTCAATGTTTCATTTCTTTTCATTTCCATCTTTATTTCAAACAGATTAGAAAAAAAACTAATAAAAAATAACAGATGTGAAAAACAGAATAGCGTATTGTTAGAATACAGTATTTCTCAATATTCATAATAATATTTATATATTCAACAAAAATATTCATAATAATAAATGATATGTGTCCAAAGGGAGCAGGAGGAAGCAGATGCTTATTGATCCCCTTACTCACTGCTGATCAATGATTATCCTTTCAATCAGTTCTGCAAGTTATTGCTACTTACATATTTACATTTATACATACAGTACATGTTGAGAAACACATCTGATTATAAACTCTTCTTTTATCCTCATCATGTTTTCTTTATTCAGTCTAAGGTGCTGCAGGTTGTCAGAGACCAGCTGTTCTGTTCTGATCTCAGCTCTGAAGTCCAACCCCTCCCATCTGAGAGATCTGAACCTGAGTCTCAACGCTCTGCAGGATTCAGGAGTGGAGCTGCTGAGAGATCTTCTGGAGAGTCCAGACTGCAGACTGGAGACTCTCAGGTCAGTTCACTGACTCTCTGTTACTGCTGGAGATCTCATGTTTCATTAGTTATTCAACCTGATTCTTCTACATTCATATATTGCATCCATACTTTTGTAATTGTTGTTTTATTCATATTTTAATCAGGGCTGCTCGATTATGGCAAAAATCATAATCACGATTATTTTAGTCAAAACTGATATCAGGATTATTAAATACGATTATTCTTTGACTTTGAAAACATCCATTTATTGAACTTTAAAACAAATAATAATTTGAACAGTATGTTTTTAACAGTTGATTTCCCTGAACTTTAAGTTTAATTCAACTGAAAAACCAATACAAAATAAATTATACATTTATATCTACATTTAAATAAATAACATCAAAACAATAAATACCAATAAAGAAGATCAACTAATATTTTGGAGCGCACTTCCACAACCTGCTAAACATATATAAATATGATAACTGACATCCCTCTCAACCTGTAATGTTTAATTATACTGCTCCACGCAGTGCTCTTATTTTGGTAACCCCTCATCTGGAAACAGGAAGTAGCTGAGAGGCTCCGGCTGGACGAGTTAGTGGAAGTTGACGCTAGAGACGGAGAATAAAGAAACTAAAGCTTCCCTTGTGACGTGTTTCTATGGATTTATGAAACAGACTGCAAGTCACAGCACGACCTGCTGAGGGGGCTTTAGGGGAGGGGGGGGGGCAGGGTGTGTGACGCAAGACACATTGAGAGCATCGTTGCGAAAGGGAACGCAGCAAAATAATCGTTTTATTTCGATTACGTTGTTTTCATAATCGTTGCAAGACAAAATCGAGATTAAAATACGATTAATTGCACATCCCTAATTTAAATGTTTACGTACTAAATAAAGTACTTAAAGGAACTGTTACAGATATCTGCTGTTATTTGTAAAAAGTAAATCTATGTTTTTAATATTTAGTAAACGATAGCGTCTGAATAAAGGTCATCTGAAGTGATATTAGTTTGACATGATGAAGTTTACTTTCTGAAGGAGACATATTTTTTAGTTCTCATTCATTTCAATGTTTCATTTCTTTTCATTTCCATCTTTATTTCAAACAGATTAGAAAAAAAACTAATAAAAAATAACAGATGTGAAAAACAGAATAGCGTATTGTTAGAATACAGTATTTCCCAATATTCATAATAATATTTATATATTCAACAAAAATATTCATAATAATAAATGATATGTGTCCAAAGGGAGCAGGAGGAAGCAGATGCTTATTGATCCCCTTACTCACTGCTGATCAATGATTATCCTTTCAATCAGTTCTGCAAGTTATTGCTACTTACATATTTACATTTATACATACAGTACATGTTGAGAAACACATCTGATTATAAACTTCATATTTACATTTATACATACTGTGGGGAAAAAAGTATTTAGTCAGCCACCAATTGTGCAAGTTCTCCCACTTAAGAAGATGAGAGAGGCCTGTAATCTTCATCCTAGCTACACTTCAACTATGAGAGACAGAATGGGGGGAAAGAATCCAGGAAATCACATTGTCTGATTTTTAATGAATGAATTGGTAAATTCCTCGGTAAAATAAGTATTTGGTCACCTACAAACAAACAAGATTTCTGGCTCTCACAGACCTGTACCTTCTTCTTTAAGAGCCTCCTCTGTCCTCCACTCGTTAACTGTATTAATGGCACCTGTTTGAACTCGTTATCAGTATAAAAGACACCTGTCCACAACCTCAAACAGTCACACTCCAAACTCCACTATGGCCAAGACCAAAGAGCTGTCAAAGGACACCAGAAACAAAATGGTAGACCTGCACCAGGCTGGGAAGACTGAATCTGCAATAGGTTAGCAGCGTGGTGTGAAGAAATCAACCGTGGGAGCAATTATTAGAAAATGGAAGACATACAAGACCACTGATAATCTCCCTCGATCTGGGGCTCCACGCAAGATCTCACCCCGTGGGGTCAAAATGATCACAAGAACGGTGAGCAAAGATCCCAGAACCACACGGGGGGACCTAGTCAATGACCTGCAGAGAGCTGGGACCAAAGTAACAAAGGCTACCATCAGTAACACACTACGCCGCCAGGGACTCAAATCCTGCAGTGCCAGACGTGTCCCCCTGCTTAAGCCAGTACATGTCCAGGCCCGTCTGAAGTTTGCTAGAGAGCATTTAGATGATCCAGAAGAGGATTGGGAGAATGTCATATGGTCAGATGAAACCAAAATAGAACTTTTTGGTAAAAACTCAACTAGACGTGTTTGGAGGAGAAAGAATGCTGAGTTGCATCCAAAGAACACCTACTGTGAAACATGGGGGTGGAAACATCGTGCTTTGGGGCTGTGTTTCTGCAAAGGGACCAGGACCACTGATCCGTGTAAAGGAAAGAATGAATGGGGCCATGTATCGTGAGATTTTGAGTGACAACCTCCTTCCATCAGCAAGGGCGTTGAAGATGAAACGTGGCTGGGTCTTTCAGCATGACAATGATCCCAAACACACCGCCCGGGCAACGAAGGAGTGGCTTCGTAAGAAGCATTTCAAGGTCCTGGAGTGGCCTAGCCAGTCTCCAGATCTCAACCCCATAGAAAATCTTTGGAGGGAGTTGAAAGTCCGTGTTGCCCAGCGACAGCCCCAAAACATCACTGCTCTAGAGGAGATCTGCACGGAGGAATGGGCCAACATACCAGCAACAGTGTGTGAACACCTTGTGAAGACTTACAGAAAACATTTGACCTCTGTCATTGCCAACAAAGGGTATATAACAAAGTATTGAGATGAACTTTTGTTATTGACCAAATACTTATTTTCCACCATAATGTGCAAATAAATTCTTTAAAAATCAGACAATGTGATTTTCTGGATTTGTTTTTCTCATCCTGTCTCTCATAGTTGAAGTGTACCTAGGATGAAAATTACAGGCCTATCATCTTTTTAAGTGGGAGAACTTGCACAATTGGTGGCTGACTAAATACTTTTTTGCCCCACTGTATATGTTGAGAAACTCATCTGATTATAAACTCTTCTTTAATCCTCATCATGTTTTCTTTATTCAGACTGAGCTGCTGCAGGTTGTCAGAGACCAGCTGTTCTGCTCTGATCTCAGCTCTGAAGTCCAACATCCATCTGAGAGATCTGAACCTGAGTCTCAACGATCTGAAGGGTTCAGATGTGAAGCTGCTGAGAGATCTTCTGGAGAGTCCAGACTGCAGACTGGAGACCCTCAGGTCAGTGAGGGGTCTCTGCTGGTTCAGCAGTATTGTATGAAACTCAGGGAGGTGTTTCTCTCACTGGGGAAGCAGATCAGTGATGTTACCCACTGACTGCAGGCTCTTCCATTCTTCCATCAGCTATAGAAGGCCAGCTGGAAATGCAAAGCCACATTTAGTACAGATGTAGCACCTCATTTCGGACAGTTTGAAACGCGAGGGCCGTGATTGGTACGTGATCTTCCCTCGCTCAAGGGAAAACCTCCAGTTTCACTTGAGTCCTCCCCCGTGATAAATAAATGTAATTATAATGAAGCCAGCTGCAATGGATCATTGATCCACCAGGGGGTGCAGTGGGGTTCCACACTGGAGCTCATGTGAAAGAAAGTCAGAGAGAGTACGCTGGAAGTACAGCGGAACTTTGTTAAGATCCATATGTCACGGATATCATACTCTGTGCTAAATAAGAGACATGTAATCATTTACAAAACATCACCATGTTGTTATTTAACAAAATAATGTTGTTTTGTCAAAAAAAAAACGAACGGGAGGAAATGCAGCCCGGCTCTCGATTTTTAATCCTAATTTAATCATCATCTTCACCACGATCGTTTATGTTTATGTTCGCCCAATTGACATGAAATCACTGACACATATGAATATGCTGTATTCAACTTCATTAAAACGTTATTAACGGGCCTAAACTCAGTAATTCACTAAACATAGTTATATTTGAATGGAGCCTCGTCGGCAGATCAGGATCTTGATCAGCATGAAGGGTGTTATTTTCCCCATAAGGAACAAGTCGCTGCACATGATCCCGCTTATCACACGGCCACATTCTCAACAAAGTAACGACATGACTCCCAATATTAATTGAAATGTTTTTATTGATTTACAAAATAGTTGTATGTATTAATAGGTTTTGTGCGCTGTGATGATTCGGCTGTTCCTTTAGTAATGAATATTAAATGTTGTGAGGAAATCTTTCCACCAATAATTTCAATAAGTAATCCCACATTTTTCACTTCAGGTTTACGAAAGTTAGAGACTTTAATATTTTATTGAAAAAAAGTTACAATGCACACACACAACACACATCACACAAATTGACCCGATTGGCGGTTCTAGTGTAAAATAAACTCACTAATGAATGAAACCAGTTCAATACGCATTATTCTTATTCTTATCATTCTTTATGAGCGCAGAAATAGTCTTAAAATCAGACCTGTTTTTAAATGAAACCTGACGGCAGGCAGTTAGCTCTGATCACCTATGATAAATGCGCCACACCTAATCGCTGGCCATTCAGCCACACAGCTCCCTCTATACAAATCAAACTGTAGACGGTGTGAAAGCACCTATTGTTTTAAATACAGGGTTCGTACGGTCATTGAAAACCTGGAAAAGTCATGGAAATTCAAAATGCAAATTCCAGGCCCTGGAAAAGTTATGGAAAACAATATTATTCCCAAAGTTTTGGAAAAGTCATGGAAATGTAACTAAAGTTGCGTCAAATATAATTAACATTTTATCTAATCGCCGAAATAATCTGCGGTCGCGAGCTGTTATGTGCCATCATGACACGCATGGTGTTATTTTGTAATATATGAAGCGCGAGCTGTGTGCTCGAGTCTTCCTGCCTGTCGGCTGAACTCTGCTGCTCCGGGATGAGGGTCAGCTACATTATCTACGGTGCATCGTTAACTGTGCGGAGTCACTGTGGCACAGACTGAGCCGCTGGTGAACAGCTGTTAGAACGGGCCGTTCAGGTGTTCAGAGCAGAGCGGCAGAGCGTGATGTGAACTGAAAAGTGTTTCTGTCGCAATATCATTGTCACTGCTGCTAACGTTAGCTTTAGCCTTCGTTTTCTAATAGTTTTTTTCATAGGCTACAAACAGAGGTGGTATAAGTATAGAGATTGTAGGCTACTAGAGTAAAAGTAGAAGTACTCAGATCTTGTACTTGAGTAAAAGTAGAAGTACCAGAGTGTAGGAATACTCTGTTACAGTAAAAGTCCTGCATTCAAAATGTTCCTCAAGTGAAAGTAGAAAAGTATTCTCATCAAAATATAGTGAAAGACAGTAAAAGTAGTCGTTGTGCAGATTGGTCCATTTCAGAATAATATATATGATATGTTTTATAATGATTGATCATGAAAGTGTTCTCAAAGCTGGTGAAGGTGCAGCTAGTTTGAAGTACTTTGTGTACTGCAGGGTAGCTGGAGGATTTACTCCAGGTGGAACTAAAGTCTGATTCAACACTTGATTAGATTTACCATCATTCATCCTGATCTGTGAAGTAACTAAAGGTATTAAATACCATTTACCTCTGAACTGTAGAGGAGAAGAAGAACAAAGTAATAGTAGTAAAATTGAAATACTTAAATTAAGTACAAGTATCTCAAAATTATACCCAAGTATAGTACTTGTTGAGTTTATGAACTTAGTTACTTCACACCAGTGGCTTTACAGATAGAAAGCTAAGCCTTGAACAGAGGCATGAAAATGCATTTTCAAAGTGCTCAACAGCCAAAATGATAAACTGACTGCTACACAATTAAAATAAATGCTTTTATATATTTCTATTAGATGTGACTCTTTGGCGTTTCTGTTATTATTACCTGCTGCTTTAGATGTTCTGACTGCTAACATCCTGTTGTTCCTCATTTTAAAGCCGATATTCCGTGGGGTCGGGGGCTCGGGTCCTTGTCACCTTTTCCATACCTGATGAGTTTGCATCCCTGTTGTAAATAATGGTCGGAATGTGACCTGTGAGCCTTCTGAGTTACCGTGGGACAGCACGTTCTAAACTAAAATGTTCAATCAATAAAGTAACATCTTATCTTAATAATATCTTCATATTAATAATAATAATAAATCATACAGTATGTGTCCGAAAGGGAACAGGAGGAAGTGTTCAAATGTTCTTCAAAAACACAACTGCAAGTCCATGAAACTTGTCTTTCTGTATTTGTGAATGAAGCGCCATCTCCTGGTTAAAACCTGAAATTGAAAATCTGGCAACGCCCTCTTGGAAAATAGTGGGAGGGCTTAACATTCCTCGATACTGGTCTTAGGCAGGTCGTAGGCAGGAAGCTGTAAGCTGGAGTCCGAAATGAGGTGCTACATCTGTAAGTAATCTCCTCTCTAGGGCTTTCCTCCACTGCAGACTCTTCTAGTCGACTGATAGTCATCAATTCAGGCGATTAGTCGACTCACGTTTACGATATATTATGATTATTCATAAATTAGGTTTTTCTCCCAAAATGGTTTCAGTCTCCAAGGCTGATAAAGAGCATTATTATAACAGTGTTGTGCTTCACATAGAATATATAATAAGACTGTAATAATGAACCTTTGAAGTATAGATGAGATCTTACAGTAGAGAGCGCATGAGAGTCACAGCACACGGACGCAGCGGTGCAAACAGCAGAAGCTCCGCTAAGGACTCTCAATGTGTGTGAACAAGCAGCGAGGACACACACAACACGTTTAGTTTATATAATTCATATCTGAATATAACAACCCAATAAAAACTACAGAGGAAACGGAAACACTGAAAATATGAGCGTGGGCTGGAATCCCTCCGGACATGACGCCCTCATCATGAGATGAGAGCTTTATGGTGTTCTGAGGTCAGAAGGACTTTATACTATAGGTCTCTATATGTTGATGCAGAGCTAGCTGCTGCCTGACTCTCTGCTTTCCTCCCAGTCTGAGAGAGGGACACACGTTGGGGATAATCATACGGAGGCGACTTCTTCTCAGTGGAGTCTGCATGTCACCTTGTGGGTCCTTGACGCTCAGAAGGATCCACACTTTAGATGTCCTGCCCGACAGAATGATCTCAATGACCAGGCTCCGCTCTGAATGAAGGCTGAGGGTTTCCAGCTGACTTCTTTAGCCGACTAACGTTCAGTCGACTAATTGGGGGCAGCCCTTCAAACCAGGGGTTTGTGACGGGGCTCTATTTGTCCGTTCAAAAAACCCTGGCCTAGTCGGTTGGGTCCAAAACTTTATTTACAGCAACAAAAACAAAAAACGGAACCAGCACAACTTAAACAACAAAATAAAAATCCAAACCAGGCCGTCCATCACTATTAGAGTAAACATGCTCAGGTGTTGCCTTCTCTGCAACCATCTCCCGAACATGTCCCAGCTGTTGCCTTCATTGCAACA